GTTAACTGGCTTAAGGAAATTAAATTGAAGGGACAGTTAGGGACAAAAAGGACAAATTTTAGATTTAAGGAGGGAGACAGGATGACTTGACCAACTCCCTTTGAGGAAGTTTTATAAAATGAGGTTTGTCTTGAAATGAAATGGTTGAGAACAAGGAGGTATTACAAGAGATATGGTCAGAATCACCGGAATCAATTACCCATGAATTGTGACTTTCCATGGATTGAGAGATGCAAGCTGTTGATATACTTGGAGCTTGAGATGGTTGTGCCAAGCTGTTGGACTTGAGTCGTAAGTACTCTTGATACTCGTCCTCAATAAACTTGGGTTTAGTCGTTTCAGCTTGAGAGACATTGACTGTTTTGGAAGGAAAACCGTGTAAGGAGTAACAGTTTTCCTTGGTGTGACCCATCCTTTTGCAATATATGCATTGAGGCACCCACGACCACCACGTCCGCCTTCTCTAGTTCCACGTCCTCCTCTTTCTCGAGTGACGACCATAACAGATGGTTCTACTAGAGCAGGAGTTTCCAGAGTTCCATGTGTTGGAACACGAACCATGCGTTGGATTAAGGTGTCCATGGAAGGGACTTCATGAGAGGTAAGAAGCTGATCTCTGATATGGTTGAAGTCTGGATGTATAGCGCGAAGAATCATCACCATATAGTATTTGTCAAGCTTCTTCTTCATTTCATCTGAAGCGTCGACCTCCAAAAACATTTGTAGGTCTTCCACGGCTGATTGTGCTTCATTCATGAAGGAGATCATATCATGGTTGGTCATTTTCAGAGATGCTAGCTTGTTTGCTGAATCATAAAGGCTTTGGATATCGTTGCATATATGTTGAGTTCTCTTCCAAAAAGAGTGACATGTCTTTAAGGCCCTAAAAGACATTAAAGTCTTGGCTCCACATATTGCCCCAACAGGGCACACAACTGAAAATCTGCTTGCTTCCACTGTTCGGCTTTTTCTTTAGGCACATGGCTTCCGTCTTTCTCAAGATGGTCATGATGTCCTTGGCCATGGAACCACATCTCGACGACAGCGGACCAAGAGAGGTAATTTTGTCCGTTTAGCTTCTCGAAAATAATGGAAGGACTTCCAGAGAATGAAATAGCTCTTTTAGCACTTCCAGTTGTCATTTCTGATCAAGAGGACAATAAAACAGAAAGCAGATACGCGAAAACAACGAAGATTTTTGAAAGCCCTAAAGAGATGGAGCGTGTGGCGGCGCGTCGCGAGGAGTCTCCCTTCGGCACCGACAGGGTTGGCTGTCACTCGGAGAGGCAATCTAGATCCGGTGGTTTCTAGACGAAACTGCGGCGGGCGGCGGGCGGTGGCTGACGGTGGCGGACGACGGTGGATAGCGATGGATAGTTGCTTGACAGTGTTGTACAATCCAACAGAGCAAATGATAGCTTCAGATAGTGATAAAACTGAGCTTAGACGGCCGCAGATAGCGGTGACTAATGGTGGTGGACAAGACCAGACAGAAACCAGAGCGGGATCGACCCGCTCTGATACCAACTTAAGATTAATAGAGAAAAAATATATCTTCAGGGCTTATGGGACCCTTCTCCCTTTCTTCTATTTATAATGTAAATCTGATATAATGAAACATAGATATAGCTATAGGAGGTTTCCCACACTCGACACCCTAGGTGCAGATCTAGATACAGCTGTAGGAGGTTTCCCACAGTCAACACCCTATACTTAGGTCTAATGATAATAGTAGGAAGTAATGATTCTAACAATGTCAATGGCAGTCTGATTATCAGAATACTACTTCAACTTCATTTGCAAGTCTGATTACCCTTTCACCTTTTGAAAGAGTAATTTAATCCACAGGTTCACAAGTAACTAAAGTCATAGTTTTGTATTTAGCTTCTACACTAGACTAAACAACAACCATGACTTGTTGTTCTAAATGATCAACTGCTTCATAAATATTAGTGAGAATTGTAAGTGAAGATATAGAGGAGACATAAGAGAAATATGAAGGAGGTAATCAATGACAACTTAAAAAGTTGTGAATATGATGGGCATTCAAGTAAAGCAAATAAATTTCCTACAAATAATAGGTCAACCTGAATTATAATTATTCGGATCCATAGTAGGAGTGTTTGATGATGAAAGGCATGGATCAAGTGACTCCACATATACAAATGGATCAAATTATTGTGGTTGATGGAGACTAACACAAATATCTTTCCATTAGTCTTGGGATAATAACATTTATATCCTTCTTTCTAATGGTGAGGATATCCTAGGAAATGAATTTAATAGTTCTAGAAAACTATTTGACCTAGAGAAAAATCATAAACAAAGCATGTACACCCTAACACTTGAGATACATGAAATAAGGATTTAGTTGGAAAAATGATCAAGGGAGGAATTTTATTTCAAGAGCAGTAGAGGGGCTCCTACTTATTAGAAAACAAGATTGCATCACTTCAATGATATACAAGGACATTTGTTAAACATTATAGGGCGTGCAATTTTCTCTGAAGGTTTGTTTTTCTCTTTCTACTATTTCATTTTGTTGAGGTGTGTAAGGAAATACTCTTTAACATTGTAACTTTTAAGAATTTTAAGGCTTAATTATGTTTTTGGTCCCCTAATAATTAGGGTAATTCTGATTTTGGTCTCCTAAATTTATAAAAAAAAGTTATTTTACTCCATAAACATTAACTTTAGTAGCTTAGTGATTGGAGTATTAGTCCTATTTAGTGTTTAGTGGCCCAAACCATATTTTACTAAATTTTAGAAATTACAATACCTTCCTTTAATTGAGCCATATTTCGATGCCAAAAAGATATTTGAGACATTCAAGACCTTTGGCGTAAAAGTGATTGCATGTGTTCGTTTAGCTAAGAGATTTTGGCAGCATCATTTGCTATAATTACTATGTCATCAACATACACAATTAAATAAACACATTTTTTAGGGGAGGTATGATATTAAAAATTTGTATGATCTGTCTCACTACTACGTTTCAATTCAAAGGTTTGAACAATGTTACTAAATTTTCTAAACCACACTCATGGAAATTGCTTGAAACTTTAGTGAGAGTAACAAATTTTACAAATCAAACCAAACCAAACTCCCCCTAAGCAACAAACCCTAGAGGTTGCTTCATGTAGACTTTTCCTCATCCAAGATCTTTGGGTGAAAGTGATTTCATAAATGTTCCTTTAGTTGAGAGATTCTAACAACATCATTTGTTATAATAGCTATGTCATTAACATATACAATTAAGTAAATACATTTTCTAAGGAAGGTATGATAGTAAAAAGTCAAATGATCTGCCTCATTACGTCTAAACCTAAAGGTTTGAACGTGACTAAATTTTTCAAACCAAACTCATGGAGATTGCTTGTGACTATAGTGGAGTGGTGGAATTTACAAACCAAACCAAGCTCCCCTTGAGCAACAAACCTAGGTGGTTGCTTCATGTAGACTTCATTTCCTAAATCACCATGAACAAAAACATTTTTATTATCCAATTAATGGAGAGACCAATGACGAATATTTATCATGGCAAAGAAAAGCCAAAATGTAGTCATTTTGGCAACTCGAGACAAAGTATTACCATAATAAAGACAATAGATTTGAGTGTATCATTGTCCACCAATCTAGCGTGAAGGCAATCAACTTCATTATTGGGACCAACTTTATTTACATAAACTCATTGATCTTACCCACTCTAATAACACATTGAAGTTATTGTAAAGACTCGGTATGTAAGTAACTTTACTTATGTAAATTAGTACAAAGGAATACACCATATGACTCATCCAAATACAACAAAAACAGCTTCATAAAATCTGTACAACAAATAATATTAGCTATTTAACAATTACCAAGGACTTGTTTGATTTTATTTTAATTTTTAAGTTTTTTAAAAACAATTTAGAGATCAATTTCGAAAAACTACTTTTGAAAATGAATTAGAAAAAGAGCTTGTTTGATATCTCTAGTTTGGAAACGGCTTTAAACAAAAGAGAATGACAAAGACAATGACAAATAGTTACAGCAGAAGTTGAGAAATGATTTTGATAATTTCATGTTGATGAAGAAGGAAAATGTAGTGAAACTATTGATGTATGCGTGAATACCATTATGAAATTAGAAAACTAAAAACTAAACAGAAAATATATTTTATTAATTTTGGTTTTTTAAAAAACAAATAATGGTTTGGAAAAATATTTTAACAAAACAATTATCAAACAAGTTTTTTAAAAGTTAGAAAACTTAAAAATTGTTGTTAAAAACATAAACAAACAAGCTCTAAATATATTTTTCATTGTTTTTAAGCAACATTTTGTAGCATTAATCATATAAACTTTAGTTGATTCTTTTACAGCTAACTTTGAGGTGACTATGGTTGAGTCAATTTTGAGGATACCGTGGTGAGAAACACACTTGATTTTTCCTCTTTGACAAAAGAACAAATTATATTTGGAATTGAACCTAAGAAGGTATCGTAACAACTGAAATATTATTCCAGAGGTTTGGTAGTATCATTCAATCATGAACCTTTTTAGTAGATTTTCACTGGTTCCCAATAATTCTAGAGTTCTATGTAGTGGATTCTAAGTAATGTTCTGAAATCGTACCAAGCACACCAATTTAATCCTTTTTGTAGATATTGTAAACCAGAAATAACTTCTAATAAAAATCTGTAGATATTTTAATCAAAGTGAATCAATTACTAATATGATTATTGAGGAAAAATCTGTCATCTATTGTCAACACCAGCTCAAAGAAACCATTTTTGAAGAATGTGTTTGTTTCATATGCCTGTGGTGAAAAAAACACATGACCCTGCCCCAGCCATAAGAGTCAAACAAACAAACAAATGCAATTCAATGCTATATTTTCAAATACAAGTCAAAAAGTATAAATAAATAAATTACCTGTACACTGCTGTCATTAAGGCATAGAAACTCCAATCCTGACAGAACAAGAGTATATGGCTGTCTATCCATTAGAATGCCTCATTCAACTTTAGAATCAGGTGGCTGGATAAACATACTACTCTGCCCTGATTGTAGATGCTGCATATGTTGCTGAGGTTGATGTTGTAGGACAAGATCTTTGGGTGAATGTTGTTCTTGCTCATGCTTCTGCTCAGCCTGATATGGCTGCTGAGATAGGATGGGTTGTGATGACTGTTGGAGAGATTGTAGCTGACGTTTTTTCCACTGTGTATCAGAATTATGTGCATGAGAAGTCAAGCTAACTAAACTTGGCTCCAATCCTTGACTAATTGTTGGTTGCTCATTTCCAGCAGGCGCACTCCCCAAGGAGCTCATTTGAGTTGTTTGATTGTTCATAGTGGAATCAAATGGCCGTTCGGATGTTTTCCACAGAGAAGATACTGTTGTACTAGCTGGTACCATACTAACAGGATCCATACAACTCTGAGTCACTGTAGGACATGTGCTAACCTGGGAAGCGCTGCTTGCAGGCTGTTGATCAGCTTGAGTTGGGCCAGACTGTGACTTGCTTAATGACTCAGAATGAATATGATGGTTTTGCGGCAACATTCTCTGAATGTTTGTTTGAGTATTATTAATTTTCTTAGACTGAGTCTGTGGCTGCAGCTGATGGTGGTTAGAAGCAATAACAGCTGGCTGTGAAGGTGACAACAACTGACCCGATGAAACCTGTGAATCCTGTGCTTGAGAACTTGTATCTGAAGGAATATGAAGTTGCTTGGATGAAGTGGTTGGTGACCCAGAATGTAACTTCTGCTGCAATTGTGAATGATTTGAAGAATGGGCATGATCCGAAGGCTTTGATGGCTGATTTGAGTTTAAACCAGATCCCGAATATATATTTTGACCTGGCATCATGGGCATGATTTTGTCCCCTTTCTCACCAGTTTGACTTCCCACAGGCAGAGAGAGTCCACTAAGATGAGAAGTATCCACAGAGAGGTTGGGATGGACCAACATATTTCCTCTTCCCATTCCCTTCAGAAGTTTTGCCTGCTGTTGAGACTGTACATTATGCCGTTGATTAGGATGCTGCCTACTAGACTGTTGATACTGCTGTGGCGGCAGCTGCTGCTGCCGTGGGCGTTGTTTTGCTGCTTGATTAGTCAACCCACTAGCAGGGGGATTTCTGCTGAACACAGGTTGAGGCTGGTGAAGTCTCTGCTGTTGCAGCTGGGATGACAAGGGAGTCAAAGGGGATGATGATGTTATAGGTGAATGAGGGACTTGCTGAGAAGAATTTTGTGGTTGAATTTGAGAACTGTTCTGCAATGGTGATGATGATATGGGAAGTTTAGATGTTGGCTGGACATGTGGCATTAATGCATTTGATGCAGCAAGCTGCTGCTGGTGCTGGAGATATCGTTGCTTCATTTGCCTTTCTTTCGCCAACCGGACAGCATAGGCTTGCTGCTGTGAATTAGTATGACTTGGACCTTGAAGATGAGGACGAGGATTACTGAGATTGGACTGCTGCTGCGACAGTTGGTGTGGCTGCTGAGCATGTCCTGGGTAAGGCTGAACAGGTGTTGTTGTCTGATTGCTAAAGGCAGAACTCAGCCCACACAGAGCAGGAATACCTTGACTGTTCCCTTGGGTGACCTGCATTTGAAGCTCTGGAACCATCATCTGTCTTTGATGATCTGGGTTATGGCCAGGCTAATGGCAATAGGAAAAAGTCATCAGTATAAATAAAATAAGATCACTGTAAATGTTAAAAGATAAACCAAATACCTAACAAAGCCCAAGAGAGCCCATTAAACTTCGTGAAAACAACAATGTTGAGTTGGCTGGGAAATAAGTTTCATAGCTACAAGGTGAAATACAACCTAAGGACATCTTTGCTTTTGGCGTTTTTCTTACAAAAAATGGCTTTTCAGTTAAATTCTCTATCTGGCAATTTGACTATTAGCTTTTGTGAATACATTTGTACAAAACACAAACTTAAAAACAATACGCACGTAATCAATTCAATCCTAATATAACGGAATAAGAATACTTCTCACCCTCATCATATGCAGAGTCTCATGTGACCTTAAAATTGAATTGCCTGGTCCAGGACCAACTCCAGAGTGCATATTTACAGGGCTTGGCATCCCAACCATACTAGCGGAAATAATGCTTCCAGAATTCAGCATCGATGGTGATGCCATTCCTTGAAACCCTGGCCTAGGCATTGCCATAGTTTTGTTAATTCCAGCCATTATGCCCATACTATTTCCACTGGGAAGCATGCGAACACCATGGTCACTTCCAGAAATTGTCCCAGCAACTGACATGCTTTGCTGAATGTTTCTTCCAGATAACATTTGATTGTATTGTATTCTCTGTTGCTCATCGACTGATGAAGGTGAGTTCCTTGGAATTCCATATCTACCACCCCTGAAAAAAAAACACATCAATTGATTGTATAGAAGCAATGCACAAAATGTTATTATTGCACAACAAGAACCTTCAGCAATGAAACTGCACACCTGACAGATGCTGCGGCTGGAGCAGATGAAGATGACAAGTTTTGACCAAGAAGCATACCAGAAGACACAGGTAGTGAAGAATTCACCCCAGATGTGGGAAGCATTGACTGTACAGAGCCTTGATTTGGTAATGTTAAACCACCAGGATGAGAACCTTGATACCCTAGGACTGGGACATCTGGGTTTGTTTCTTCAGCTTCACACAGATCAAGTGGCCTTCATCCAGGATTCAAACATAAAGCAAAACAAACTAATCAGGTGTACCAATATTTTAAAATTACAAGAAAAACTCAACTACAGTTAGATAAGCAGAGTAGATAATGCAACAGAACCGAAAATTGTAAACTTTCCCTACTGCCCTGAAAATAAAATAAAAACTTACGTTAAATGATTCCCGTTCAGGTTGTTGGGGCTGGTTAAGGAAAGAGCAATCTCATGTGAATTATGGGCAGGCACTATTTGTTTCGAATCCTGGTTATCAACCTGCATTAAATAAAAGGCTTTCTGCTTAAAATCATGTCATAAACTAACGACAAAATGGAGAAATTTTATATATAGCAACAATTCTGCTCCATGCGGACAACATTCTTCAGAAATAATCACTAATCAGACTAATAAGAAATAATTAAACAGTCCAAAATCAGTTCTCAGCAGGAAATCAAAGGAATTGCTCCAAAAAATGTTTTTCTGTCAAAAATGTTACAATATCTTCCTAATATCTAAGATATCTCAACCATATATATATGTTTATCTACCCTATATCTCATCTAATATGCATAAAACTAAAATACACTTACAAGAATTATAGTATTTAATATTTTTTATTGTGCAGTCAACTTTACTTCTATATAAACAAATTATTTTTTCCTTATATACTATGAATTATTAAAATTTGTATTTAACTAATATTAATAATATTTTCAACGATAATATTTATAAATAAAATAAATTTATTCTATTTAATAAATGTAATATATTAATTAAACATGTGGTTTTTTATATAAACTGTATATTAAAAATTTATTGTTAACTAAAAGAAATTTTAACAATATTTAATACCTATGTACAAGTATTTATTAATCTAAAATATATACACAACAAAATTAAAATTTTGTATTTCTACTTATTAAAAGAATTACTTTATTAAATATTTCTTAAACTAGATCGTTTCTAATTTGTATTAATTTGTAACCAAATTAAAAAGCACATCAATATAATTTTAAATTATTTCAAATTTTGTTATACGCAGTTAATTATTTTAAACTAGTAAGTTTTTAATCACTGTATCTTTATTTTATGCATATAATGTAGTAACTTGAATTTTATTGACTTGAATTAATTATCTGAAAATTAAAATAATAAGTCTTATGTAATTTAAAGGATATTTTATATATTATAAAAATTGAGTCACATTATTTTATATAGAATGAATAAAACAATGAGATTGAAAAGTTTTAATTCATAAAACCTGCATGTAATACTTAAAAATAATAATAAATAAAAAATTCAAAACCCATGCTATTTTTCATTTGAGAAAAAATTTAAAATTAAATTTAAAAGAAACTGTGGCATATTTTTTGTTATTTAATTAACATATATAATATGGGTGTGTTTTTACTTTGATTATAGAGTCGATGGATTGACAGTGAAAAATAATGTGATTAGGACAGCTAGTATTACGTATAAACAATTTGCCCACTAATTTGGAAGCAATCTTAGGAGTTGTGTCCAAATTTGATTCGGGCAAGAAACAAATTCCAAAGGAACAGAAAGTTCTTATTGATGATAGCATAGCAGTTCTGTAATATAGTTAGCTCTTAAACTGATATTCATAATAATATCACTAGATGATTCACGTTGAAGTTGCACTAAACACTAACATAATTTAATTGAGCATTAATCTCACTAAAAGTAACAACTAATCATCTAATTTAACCATTAATATGGGTGTTTTTACTTTGAATAAATTGCATATGCAACGACAGTGTAAGATGATGTGATTAGGGTATCTATGATTTGTATAAGAAATTTGCCCTCTAATTTGGAAGCAATCTTAGTTGTTTCACAATTTGATTATGGTACAAACTCCGAAGGAACATACTGTTCTCATTGATGATAACATAACAGGTCAGTAATATAGTTGCACTTAAACTGATATTCATAATCTTATCACTACATGCATTTTATGTTGAAGTAACACCAAGCCACTAACAAAATTTAATTGAGCTTTAATAGCACTAAAAAAATATCTATCATCCATTTTCCCAATGGACAACCAATCTAACTTTAACCATTGACATCAGTGATTGAATGAGTATAGTGTACAGGAGCAGTTATTCGACAGCCTCCTTGAGGGTTATTTTTCTGTTACAGGTAGTTAGAAAGCTGATAGCCAGCTGTGCTTTTAGTTATGACAGCTGTCTCAACAACAGCTATACATTCCTTTGCCACTGTGCTAATGATATTTTTCAGAACTACTTTTCCAAATTCTCTGTTTTTCTTCTTTTCCTCAAACTCGAAAAATCATGAATCAAAGGGCCTATTTTTGGAATTGGGAATTGAAAATATCAAACATGCTAATTTTAAGTGTCTCTGCATCTTGGGATTTGTTCTGTTATAAATGCTTTGGATTCAAACCTGATTCTTATGGTAATGTTGCTTCTGCCCAATCTTTATAATTTTCTCAAAATGAGACTTCAGTGTATCCTCCTCCATTGGCCCCTGTAAACGTTGAAACAGCTGCCTGGCACTACCCTGCTAAAGATACGAAAGATTTACCCAATTAAAGCTGCAAAACAACATGGCGTTTCCCCAATGAACCCAAACATACTACACGAAAAAAGAAAAAAATTCCATGCCTTAGGAATTCCAGGCAACGTAGAAGGATAAGACTGTGAAGACCCTGAATCTTCAGCACTATCTGCACCGTCCCCAGTTCTATCCATTAAAATTTTATGACGGTCCTTGCACTCTTTTGGTTTGCGAAAGACGCACTGGAAATATAGTAAAATTTCATTATTAACAAAATCCCATATAACCCACGAAATCACAGAATAAATGAAATTTTAGCATTCAAAGCATCATAAAGCACAGCATCAGAGCTTCAAGATATATGATGTAAGTAACACAAAGTACTCCCAATGTATGAAGTAACATAAAGCATCAGAATGATTTTGCATAATGGCCCCTTTAATCTAAAACCATCCATACCGCACATCAGTACCTTGATTTGGAGAGCACTATTGATAGCATCACTTACGAGCTCCCAGTTTGGCCCCATATCATGCACCAGGACAACGAGGGCCTGCAACAGGTAGGAAATAATGGTAAGTATTTTAGAGAATTCATAGATATTCAAGTATAAATATTTATTCAAAAAGGAGAAAGCGAAAATGAGAAGGAAAATGACTTTCAAACAACCTGATCTTCAAATAGTGACCAAGGACTTCCAGAACCAGGCTGTCCAGCAGAAATCTAATAGCAAAACATAATAATTATATAAATAAGTGAATTAACATAATCACAGAAATAAAATTTGCTAGCACATAGGCATCTAAATTCATATTTACCTTCAGAGCTTTAGCCTTCCGGCCCCTGTCGCGCCCACTAATGATCTTAATAAATTTATTTGGATTTGACATGTTACTCATTTGTGAAGTAGCTGGAGAAGGAATAGAGTTTGTCATTGGCACAATATTGTCCAAAGGATTATCAAGTGGCCTCATTATCTTTGGCTTCTTCCCGTTATGTTGCCCATACAAACCTTCAAAACAGGAAAATTTAATTTGTAAATCATAATCATGAAGAAAATAGAATACACATACTAAATGTAAAGAAAAGAAGTTTTTAGATCTATAATAAATTTACAAGTTGCTTTACCACTACTTCCATTAGATTCAAAGTGATGAATATCCACTCTCTTCTTGGACTGATCCCTCTGCATTGAGAAAACATCACAAACTAAGAACTAAAAAGTAATATTCATAAACAGTTTATATAATAAATTTGAAAATACCTATAGGAGGTTGGGGGTTTAGTTAGCAATCCTAGGTTTAAATTGTTATAACAACTAATCTGATGTTCCAAAGAAGAAAAAAGAAAGACAGACACAGAATCAACCTTCTAAGATACAAAAAAGACATCCACACACACATATGAAGTCCATGTATTTAGACCACCACGAAGCTATTAAATTTATAGGGGGGAAAACATAATTACATAATATTAAGTTACCTTATGTTAGACTAATAAAATACTTGAGAGAAAAATTAGAAAAGAGCATAAACTTCTATCTCTTAGCCGTTCCATATTATTTATAAAAAAGAAATACATCAAAATTACAAAGGGTGTGCAAGGAAAAAGGCTATACCTAGGTAGTTGATGCTAGCAAATAAAAACAGCCTTTTAGGCAAACAAATAAACCTATCTAAACAAGTTAAGCTATACTATCAAGATAAACTATTTCTACAAACCCCCCTTAAGTTGAAGCATTCAGATTGTTTGTGCTAAGTTTAAAACATACAAATTGAAAATGAGGTCCTCTCAAGGAGTTTGTTAAAACATCTGCAAGTTGATTGTTGGATCCAACAAACTCAATAAAAACTTCTTTGGACAACAATTTCTCTTGAATAAAATGTCAATCAAGTTCTATTTGTTTTGTCCACGCATGGAATACAAGATTAAAAGCAACGTGGAAAACTACTTGATTATCACAATACACCTACGTTTGTTGGATATCACAATTTCAATTTTTCAAAGATTTGTTTCATCCGCACAAATTCACAAGTGAGAGACGTCATTGACCTGTATTCAAATTCAACACTACATCAAATAACTATATTTTGTTTCTTGCTTTTCCAAGAAATAATATTTCTCCAATAAAAACATAATACCTTGTAGTCGACCATTTATCCATTGGAGATTTTGCCTAATCAACATCATAATATATAGAGATTTGGGTATCTCTTTTATCCTCATACAAGAGACATTGTCCTAGACCCTTTTTGAGGTATCTTAGAATGCGAATGAAAGCATTCTAATGATCAATACAAGAATTTTTCATAAACTGATTAACACCACCAACTACAAAAGGTAGCTCAGGTCTAGTAATAGTGAAATAAATAAGTTTCGCAACAAGTCTTCATTATCTCTCTTTAGGTAAGACAGAAGTTCACTTTGAACTGTCATTAATTTTTTAGTTGAATTCATAGGTCATCTACTAGTCTACAATCAATCATATCTATCTCTTCCAAGATATTTAAAACATATTTCCTTTGATTGAGCCATTTCAATGCCCAAAAAGTATTTGATACATCTAACTTCTTTTATCTGAAAGTGATAGTACAATTGTTTCTTTAACTACAAGAATCTAGTAGCGTCATTCCATGTAATAACTATGTCATTAACATACACAATCAAGCTAACACATTTTCCAAGGGAGGTATGATAATAAAAAATTGAATAATATGTCTCACTATGTTTCAGCCCAAGGATTTCAACAATGTGACTAAATTTGTCAAATCAAGCACAGGATATCGCTTGAGATCATTCATAGATCAATGCAATTTACATATCAAACCAGACTCCTCTGAGTAATAAATCCAAGAGATTGTTCCATGTAAATCTCTTCCTCAAAATCACCATGAAAAAAATGCATATTTGATATCCAATTGGTGAAGAAGCCAATAATGAGCGGTCATGGCAAAGAAGAGGCAAATAGTAATCATTTTGACCACAAGAGGTATTCTCATATTGAGGGGATCCACTAGTCTATCTTTGAGGCAATCCACTTGACCATTTGGTCAATTTAATGGCATAAACCCACAATGGCCAACACTTTATATTTTATGATTTATTTCCTTATTTAATTAGGATCTTTATAATTACAAGAATATCTTATTAAAATTAAATTTATTAGAATATGATTTATAGCCATATCATATCATATTATATCATGTACATAGGAATACAATCTCCAATAATTACTGTATGTGTTGCAATCAACTTATATAAAATGTACTCATTAGTCTATATACAGCTTTCAGCATCTCTTCTCTTCCATAATATTTTTTCTCTTTAAACATGTTATATCAATACCACCCTCCATAACCTGTTTCGACACTATTTTGTTGTTAAGTTCCTTAAACCAAAAATTGTCATTCAAGGTGGCCGACTTTTCCATTGAACAACCTATGCTAAGTACCTTTCAAATGCATTGACCAGTAATTTGTCCTAACTGACCCCAAATTTGTCCTAAATTCATTGACACCAGTTTTGTCTTAGATGCACTGGCCCCAGCCTTGTCCCAGATCCACTGGCTCTGACTTTGTCTCAGATGCACCAGCCTAGTCTCTGTCCCAGATGCACCGGTTTTAAGTATGTACCTACAGACACAGGCCCCATATATGTCCTAGAAGCATGAATCTAGCGCCACCTTTTCACTATATATGCACTGTCCTTGTTTCTATCTCAAAAGCCATTACCAAACTTAGTTTCAACTTTCAAAATTAGTTGAAGCTTCTGAATGATTTAGAGAAGGACAGACCTTCTTGGGGGAGTGTTAGAAATATGAAAAATATCTAATGATATTCTCATTAGAAAATCTATTCTTCTTTTAATTATTTTATGATTTGTTTCCTTATTTAATTAGGATCTGTATGCAGAAATAGAATCTCCTATAACCATTATTGTTTATTACAATCAGCTTCTGTAAAATGGACTTTGTTGTGTAGTCCATACACAGTTTTCAGCATTTGTTCCAATTATTTCTCTCTTTCAACCATTCTTTATCATGCTAAGCATCATGTTTATGCTACAAGCATATAGATTCTCATTGAAATTAACAAGGCCAGAAATTCAATTTCTGTTTAAAATGTTGTAAGAGGAAGGCTGATATTACTAAGGGAATTTTCCTGAAAAAAGTTACCTGCTCATTTAGAACAACAGAATCCAACTGCCATCCCTGATCATAAGTAGAACCCTGCACAATAATTGTAAAGCAAATGCATCTGAAATACAGATTCTGAAATAAATCAAAAAATACCTCCACCACATGTTTCAAAATAAGTATGACTTGAGTAATATAAATTCAAATTGATTATTACCAGAGTCTTTGCCTTCTTCTTCTTCTTTGTTTTGACAAATGCTTCTGCACAATCATAAGATAACTGTTTTTCAAAATCTGGAACTGACTCCACCTCAGTACTTTTCTGTATGAGGGGTCCAACATGTAAAGTACTCTGGTCATCATGAAGGGAATTGGTATCACCACTTGAAGCATCCGCCTTCGCTTGAGCTTGTACTGTCCCAATGTTAGTGAAAGGGCTAACAACTCTATGCCTAGTAGCAGTTCGCATACGCTTTGTTGGTATTGACCCAACATTTAAACTAGCAGGCCTTTTTCCAAACATCATGGATGGTTGAGTTCTGATTGTATAGTGAACATAAGGCAAATCAGCACCAGCATCACCACACCTAGGAGTATAACACTTTAAATTTTTATGTTTCCTCTGCGCAGATTTTGATGATTTGTTGCCCTCATAGACACTGGGCAAGTAATAAGTGCTAGTTTCTCCTTCCTCATCATATGCATTCTCTTGGGACCCAAAGTCTATTTAAATCAATAAAAGAAAATAATGACAGAATCCAGAGTAACTAACTAAACACAAGAATACAAACAATGCACTCGTCCCAACAGTACCTGCTGCGGTATCATACACAGATGTTTCAACTTCTTCTTGAATGCTACTCCCAGTTTTCTGAAAAAAGTTATTCTATTGTTTCAAGTTAAACTAAAAAATTGTGTTTAAATAAATATTTGAACTAATAAGATAAACACATTATTCAGGAAACATCTTTGCGTTCCAGAAGGGAATAAAACATGGTAACCAAGCATTTTCTGTTTCTTTTTCTTCCCTGATAAACTAAGTATCTGAGAATCTTAAATCATACATTTACCTCGAAATGATGGAAATGAGATTCGATAGCCTTTCTATATGTTTCCATTGCAGTAGGAGGAACTTCATAGAAAAGATTTTCCTATAAATTTAAATGACATGTGAAATAGTTATTTGTGTACATCGGTTATACCCAAAAAAAAAAACTAAAGCCTTGTGCCACTAAGTGATATTTGCTTAGATTGACTATAACAAAATAATAACAAAGTACTCTATAAATTCATCTATTAAATCATAAATTAGATTAAAAGACCAAACCCAGTGGAGTATGTGACACTATCACATACAAAAGAGAAACACAGTTGCAAAGGTAACATTGAATTTTAACAATATTAAATCATAAGTTAGATTAAAAGACCAGGTCTAGTAGAGTTCAAAAAGAATATTGCATTTAGATATAATATGTTACAGCAAATGAACACATATGACACAATCATATACAACAGAAAGGCACAGAGAATTGCAAGCATCAAAATAAATATATTTAACAAGAATTATAGGGTTATGTCCCATACTTCATTGAGATGCTCATCCCATGACATATCAACACTGCTCGAGTCAAATATCTTTTCAGGAGTTGTTGGTGCCTCCGCTTGAGAGGAAATTCCATGAGACCTATTAGCCTTTAGAAATCTCAAAGCATATGCATGCACTTTAAGTGCAGCATGTTTTACAGGATTTTGTCCCTCCCCTATTGTGCTTGTTTCCTGATAAAAAGAAAAATGTAATAGTTCTTTATTTGAACCTCTAGTGCTTCCTGATCTCATTGAAGAGGATAAAATCAATTGTGCAATTTACTATTTTTGTCTTAGGATTTACATAAATATGTGCTACCTGATCTCATTGAACAAAATAAAGGGTAACCACAAACCACCTGTGAAAATTTAGTTTATTTCCAATGTTAATTCATGAAAGAAATCAACATAAAGGAAGAACACAGTAACTACCTACAGCACCTAAACGTATTTGAACAAAAAAAATCTATAGATTCTGCAAAGCATAACACCCAACCAGCTCTAAGGATGTTCTGCATCCACTCTAGCATGATTTCAATTTGAAGTAAATCGTATTTACAGTATATAAATATATATAATAAACCAAACTGTAGCATAATAAGTATCCAAACATTGGGGAACCCACCCTCAAAAACTAGCTATTAAAGGAGAAGAACCAAGCATTTAAATACATCACCGAGCATTCCTTACTACTACATGTGGGACTTAGACACCCAATAATACCCGTGTTCCTAACATAACCACCTTAAAAGTCTGTTAGAATTATTATTAGGTAGTGGTTAGTAGTTGGTGGTTGCTTTTTTTAAATGTTGTAATCTTATATATATATATATATATATATATATATATGAGATCATAGAGTGGAGGAGCGCATCCCCACAAAATTATAACTCTTCTTTCAACTCTCTTAACTTGGTATCAGAGCAGGTTGGTCCTGCTCTGCCCATCCAACCACTGTTCGGCCACCGTCCAGCCACCATCCGGCCACTTTTCCGGCCACTTTCTGGTCACTTTCCGGTCGCCATCCGGCCCCCCGTCCGGTCACATTTTTGCTGCCATCCGACGACTTTCCGACCACATTCCGATGATATTCTGGTCACTGTCCAACACCTTTCAGTGACCTTCTAGCCTCCGTTTCGCTACAGTTGTCCGTTGCTGCCATTCGTCAGTTTTCTTGCAAAGTAAAAATTAATACTTCCCTCTCTATCTAATTCTATCTTGGGGTGTTCTCCTTCTTCCAGGTTCCATTGTCTCCATCTTACGTCTACATTATTTAAAACATGTCGTCAGGGCCCACAACCTCCTTTTTTGGAACTCCTACTATAACAACTGAGAAATTAAATGGAAAAAATTACATGTCTTGGTCTTTTTTAGTGGAACTTTGGTTCCTTGGACAAGGGTTTCACGATCATCTAGAAGAAGACAAAAGTAAGATACCAGAAAATCAGGCTCAACAATGGAAAAAGCTTGATTATCAACTTTGTGCTCTATTGTGGCAATAAGTAGAACCAAATATTTTGAACACTCTCAGATCCTTCAAAACATGTAACTCTTTCTGGAAAAAAGGCTCAAAATATCTTCCCAAATGATATCTAACGTTTCTATGATTCCGCTAATCGATTAGCTTATTTCAAGCAAGTGGATAAAGATATGATAACCTTTATAGCTAAAGTTCAATCAGCAGTTGAAGAATTAAAGATGATCCTAGAGGTGGATTCGTTAGAGGAGTAAAACAAAAGTTGGATAAATTCTATATGGTTATGACTCTCCGGGCTATGATTTCAGAATTTGATCATGTTAGAGATCAAATTTTGACTGGATAAGAAGTTCCTTCTATGGAAAGTTTGACTACAAGACTGTTTCGTGTTCCAACTCTCAAAGGAAAAAATAATCAAGAATATTTGAGGTTGAAATCCAGTAGTCTAGCACAGTCATCAACAATCCCAAATTCATCAACAACTTGCATTTCACAATCTGTGGAAAGTCAAAATCCATGGATTATTAACTCAGGTGCTTCTGATCACATGTATGGTAATACCTCTTTGTTTTATTCTCTCTCATTTCCTAAAACTCCTCATCTCATAACCTTAGCCAACGGATCCAAATTAGTCTCTAAAGAAACTGGTCAAGTATCCATTTCTCCGTCTTTAAACTTAAAATCTGTTCTTTTTGTTCCTTCATGTCCCTTCGGTCTCATTTCCCTAAGTCAATTAATCAAATTATTGAATTGTTCAGTAACCTTTAATGCCAACTCTTTTGTTATACAGGAACGTGGTACGGGTCGACAGATTGGCAAAGACATGAATCTGGAGGCTTATACTACCTTGGGACTAAATCATTTGTATCCTATATTGCATCCTTATCTCCAAAACTATTACACGAACGTTTAGGGCACCCTCACTTGTCAAGATTAAAACAAATGGTTCCTAAACTTCAGACTCTTCAAAATTTTGAATGTGAATCATGTCAACTAGGGACACATACTAGGTCCTCTTTTCCTAAACATTCTGAATCTAAATGTGACTCTGTCTTTTCTCTTGTTCATTCTGATATTTGGGGTATTAGACGTGTCTCATCCTTTGGCTATAGATATTTTGTTACCTTCATTAATGAGTTTTCTAGGTGTACTTGGATTTATCTAATGAAAGACAGTTCTAAATTATTACCTATCTTTAAGTCTTTCCTTAACGAAATCCAAAATCAATTTGGAAAAGTAATCAAAGTTTTACGAAGTGGTAATGCCAAATAATACTTTTCTATTGATTTCTCCACTTTCATAAGTTCCCAATGCATTTTACACCAGTCTACTTGTCCTCACACACCACAGCAAAATGGTATAACAGAACGAAAAAATAGACATTTGGTTGAAACTATTCGTACCTTATTACTTTGTGCAAATATGTCTGTTCATCATTGGGAAGATGTTATTCTTACTGCATGTTTTCTCATTAATAGAATGTCATGTTCTTCTCTTGACAAATAAAGTTCCACACTCTATTCTATTGCCAAAGGAGCCACTTTTTCATGTTTCACCTCGTGTATTTGGTTGTGTATGTTTTTGTTCATGATATGTCTCCAGGTTTAGATAAACTATCAGCTAGAGCCATCAAATATGTCTTCTTGGGATATTCTCGTCTTCAAAAAGGATATCGATGTTATTCTCCTGAAACCAAGAGATATTACATGTCTGCTAATGTCACTTTTTTTGAATCAACTCCCTTCTTCCCTTCTTCTATGCAGGATATTAGTTCGGTTCAAAATGTCCTACCCTTAGTGGAGTCATTTGTACCTCCTCCTCCTGACACCCAAAATCCCACACAAAATACACCGGAATCCTCATCATTGTCTCTTATTACCTATCAACATAGGAGACAAATGATCAGTCTCATGCCCCAAGATGAATCTTCCTCAGCAGATCCTTCTCAATCATCACCTAATACCACGATTCCTGATAATGATAACTCAAGTTGGCCCATTGTCATTCGCAAAGGTACTCGCTCTACTCATAATCCACATCCCATTTATAATTTTCTTAGCTACCACAGATTGTCTACTTCCTATTTTTCTTTTGTTTCTTTTGTATCCACTATTACTATTCCTAAAAATGTGAAAGAGACACTTGATCATCCTAGATGACGACAAGTCATAATTGATGAAATGCAGGCTCTTGAGCACAATGATACATGGAACTTAGTTCCTCTTCCACCTGGGAAGAAGACTGTTGGTTGTTGTTGGGTTTATGCCATTAAAGTTGGACCAAAAGGTGAAGTTGATCGACTCAAAACTAGATTAGTAGCAAAAGGCTACACTTAGATTTATGGTTTTGACTACTGTGATACTTTTTCTTCTGTGGCCAAAATGACTATTGTTCGCTTTTTCTTTGTTATGGCAGTTATCTATCATTGGCCTCTTCATCAGTTAGATATCAAGAATGTTTTCTTGCATGGTGATCTTGAGGAGGAAATTTTCATGGAGCAACCTCCTGGTTTTGTTGCTCAGGGGGAGTCCAGTTTGGTTTGTAAGTTACATCGTTCTCTATATGGTCTCAAATAATCTCCACGTGTTTGGTTTGGAAAGTTTAGTCACATTGTTCAAAGTTTGGGATTAAAACGAAGTGAAGCAGATCATTCTGTATTTTATTATACTGTTTCAGGAAAATGTGTTTATTTAATTATATATGTGGATGATATAGTCATTACAGGAGATGATGGTGATAAAATTTCTCTGCTAAAGAAACATTTATGCAATCACTTCCAAACTAAGGATCTTGGTTGTCTCAAATACTTTCTAGAGATTGAAGTGGCTCAATCAAAAGAAGATATTGTAGTCTCCCATTGAAAGTATGCTTTAGATATCCTAAAAGAAACAGGCATGATTGATTATAGACCAGTAGACAGCCTTATGGATCCAAATCAGAAATTAATGGTGGATCAGGGTGAACCGCTCTCTGATCCTGAGAGATATAGAAGACTTGTTGGGAAACTCATTTCTCTTACCATTACCAGACTTGACCTATCTTTTGTTGTTGGAGTTGTCAGTCAGTTTATGCAAAATCCGCGTACTGATCATTGGAATGCTATTGTTCACATCCTAAAATATCTCAAAAAGGCTCCAGGACAAGGTCTGTTGTATGAAGATAAAGGGGGTACCCAAATATCTGGGTATTGTGATGCTGATTGGGCAGGATCCCCTATTATAGACGCTCCACTATAGGATATTGTGTTCTCATTGGAGGTAACATTATTTCTTGGAAAAGCAAGAAACAAAATGTAGTGGTCCGATCTAGTACTAAAGCTGAATATAGAGCAATGACGTCTCTCACTTGTGAACTAATATGGGTGAAACAATTCCTTCAAGAACTGAAATTTTGTGAGATCTAACAGATGAAGACGTATTGTGACAATCAAGCAGCTCCCCACATTGCCTCTAATCCGGTGTTCCATGAAAAAACCAAACATATAGAACTTGATTGTCATTTTATTCGTGAAAAATTGTTGTCCAAAGAAATTTGCACTAAATTTGTCGGGTTCAATGATCAACTTGCAGATGTGTTGACAAAGTCTTTGAGAGGACCTCAAAATGAGTTTATTTGTTCCAAGCTTGACACATACAATTTGTATGCTCCAGCCTGAGGGGGAGTGTTAGAATTATTATTAGGTAGTGGTTAGTGGTTGGTGGTTGGTAATTGTTTTTTTTTAATGTTGTAATCCATATATATATATATATATATATATATATATATATATATGAGATCATAGAGTGGAGGAGTGCATCCCCACAAAATTATAAATCTTCTTTCAAATCTCTTAACTAAGGCGATGCATATGCGGTTTTCCCTCTATGACACTCCACTCAGTTGCACTTCACTCAAGTACCTGTTAGTTAAAACCTTCCACAGGTCACAAACCTCGGCAGGTAATCCTCTCCAAGAAATTGACAATTATAGGATTCGCATGATAGAATGGAAGATTTTGGAAAAAAGAACAAGGATATGAGCCTGTATTTTACTACATGTCTATTAATAAATGTGACCAAGGCATACAATGATGTATTTGAGAGACCTCTCCTTCTTTACAACTTTAGAATCAATCCTTAACCCCCAACTACTACTCCTTATTTTCCTATTTATAAGCTATTTAGTTACAATTGTATTTCCCCTCTACTAGCCCTCGCATACACTCTCTTAAACACTTGTCTCTTATCAATACTCCCCTAAAACTTTCACCTTGTCCTCAAGGTGAAAATCTGGAAAAATAAAGTTGAACGTCTTCAGTTGTTTTCCATGAGTTCTCACAATTAGGTAGTTGAGTCCACATGACTAGAACTTCCAATTGTAACAGAGGCATGTCCCTGCCTACTGTAGCTGAGCCCACAATCAGGCAAGGCCCTGCCTATTGTACCACAACTCCAAGATATCTTCCAATTGAAGTTGAATTTCCTAATCCTCAGAAAGCAGCTGGAATTTGTTCCAGTTTATACTCAGCTCGAATTGCTTTCTTTAGCTTGCTAACACTACAAATTGGATATATCTTACTATCGGTATGTAATGAGAATTTATATGCAACTGGACCTATTCTCTCCAACAACTTAAATGGGCCATAAAATCTAAGACTCAAATTCTCATTCCTCCTCTTGGCCAATGTTCTTCTATCCATAAGGGCCAGCCTTGAGATACACCAATCTCCTTGTTCTAGTTGAACATCCCTCAGATGCTCAATTGCTTGCTTCTTCATCCTTTGTTGCACTACATTCAGATTATTTTGCAGCTGATCAAGGACAATATCCCTGTTTTCCATCAATGAACTTACTGCTTCTACAGTAAATCGAGAAGTAGGACCCTTAATGATGGGTGGCAGGTCCCTTCCATATAATGCCTTGAAAGGAGTCATCCTTGTGGAGACATTAAATTTTGTATTGAACCACAATTCTGCCCAACACAACCATTTAGGCCAAGAAAGTGGCTTATCTAATGCAAAACGGTGTAAGTATATATGCATCAAGGCATACTTATGCACTTTAGGTTCTAAAAAACCAGAATGACCCAGCCGGGGTGGTGAGTGAAATTCTGATATATTGGTAGAATGCTTGGAAAACTGCTAAGCCAACATTAATCTATCCTTGTGGAATAACAATCCTTTCTCCAGAGTGAAATTAGGAAGGGACTGTGACCTCCGCATGACTTGTCTATAATCTGTTTTGTATGATGAAATTCCTTCTTCCAAACCTCACATTCAGTCAAATATAAACCTGATAAAGCTGCACACATCATCTTCCTGGAAAGTGCATCAGCAGCTTTAATTTTACTTCCTGAGTAGCTGCACTTCAAAGTCAAGGCCGACCATTTTGAAAGTCCATTTAAATTGATCCTCCCCCACAACCTTTTGGATCTGTCAAAAATTTCAAACTCCTCTAATATGTCTTGATGATAAAATATTGATAAAGAAGATAATGTCATTGCAATAGCCATCAACTCCTATTCTTAAGTATATTTTTGTTGGGCCGTTGGGCCGTTGGGGATAATTGTTCGCTGATAAAATAAATTGGCCTTCCTCATTGTAACAGTGTGCCCCACTCCCTTATTTGATGCATCCATTTCAACCATACCTAGTCCACAACAGCCAAAACTGGTGAATAAAGTCATGGTTCTTTTGAGCTTAGTAAAAGCATTTTCAGACTCACCATACCAATGAAAGACAGCTTTCATAAGTAGTTCTGTAAGAGTATTGCAATCACCCCATACCCTTTTACAAAGAGCCTCCAGTACCTTGTAATTCCGGAAAAACCTCAGCCCTTTAAATTCCTTCAGAATTGGCCAATTCACCATTGCCTCCAATTTCTTTGAATCAGTTGATATGTCCACCCATAAACAGATATTATGTGCCCCAAATATTCTACTTTTGACAACCCAAAATCACACTCTTTAGAGAGATAAATAAAAGAGAGAAAAATGATTTTAGAGAGCATGAATGTTTCTCTGTTGAGTTTTGTTATTTATACATGCAAAATGTACAGATAGAATCAATGATGAGAGAAAAGAGAATAAAGCAAGCAAGGGCACCCAAGGCAGTCAAAATCAAGAATATAGGTGAGATCGAATGGGGTTTACAAGATCATAAATCAAGGAATCGTAACATAAATGGTAGATCTTACTCCTACATAAATATAATATACATAAATAAATACATATATATATATATATATATATATATATATATATATAAAATGATACAAATAATATATCAAGTCACACTCTAAAATATTTAATCAAACTCTTAAACTCATTACAAAAAAAAAATATAGTCAAATCTTAACTCAAATGAGAAATAAAATAATTTAAAAATCTAATCATTTAAGTCCAAATCTAAATTATAAAAATTAAATTTAACTTGAATCATAAGATTGACTTTAATAAAATATACATCTAATCTTCAAAATATATATTTGTGAAAGTTTTTAATTAATTAATAATATAATTATTAGTTTTTAATTAATTAATAATATAATTATTAGTTTTTAATTAATTAATAATATAATTATTTTTACTAAAAATAATACATCATCATTAAACTCATATGAGATAATAAACTATAGTTCAACTTTTATTTAAAAAAGTGTATATATTTAATAAATTCATTCCTATTCCTCAACAATCGAACCTGCTCCCCTACCTAACCATGCACACCCTTCCTTTCTCTTCCCCTTCCACACCCTTTTCTTCTTTTACATATTCGAAGCATGACAACCCAAAGGGAAAGGTTCAAGTGTTAGGGGCTAGGGTTAGGATTTCTAAAGATGTGGGATGCGAGAATGGTCCAAGTGTTCCAAGCACGGTGCCCCCAATGATGACACCAATGCTATTCCACGACATTCAACGGTTCATTGTCGGTGATTTCTCCAGAGTTATCTTCCAAGCCAACCAAATTTTCACAGACCAATTTTATATGTCAATTCAACAATTTCATGATCTTCTTTGACGATCCCACCAATCTTGCTCTAGTGGAATCTTGCATGAGCATTACATCAGACATCATGTGTGAAATCATGGACTCATGCGATTCCACAATCTTAAGCGCAATTTTGACTACACTGAGAGTTGTTGTACCTCTAAGTGCAAATAGGAATAATACAAACACCATTTTTAAAAAAACCTAGTCTATGCCTATTCTAATACTCCCCCTCAAGCTGAAGTATATAATTTGAACGTACCAAGCCTAGAATATATAAATTGAATCTAAGGTCCTCTTACGAATTTTGTTAACACATATGCAAGTTAATTATTGAATTTAAAACTCACTACAAATGCCTTTGAACAATAGCTTTTCTCAAATGAAGTGGTAGTCAAATTCTATATGTTTGGTTCTCTCATGGAACATAGGATTAGAGGCAATATGAAAAGATATTTGATTATCATAATACATCTTCATTTGTTGAATCTCGTAAGTGAGAGATGTTATTCTTATATTCCTAGAGGAATTGTTTTACCCACACAAATTCACAAGTGAGAGATGTTATTGACCTATATTCAGCTTCAATACTTGATCAGACAATTACATACGGTTTCTAGTTTTTCCAAGAAATAAGATCTCCTTCAATGAAAACACAATATCCTATAGTGGAGCAACTATCCATAAAATTTTGCCCACTCAACATCACAATACATAGAGATATAAGTATTCCTTTATCTTAATATAACATACTTTATTCTGGAGCCTTCTTGAGGTATCTAAGTATACGAATGACAGCAATCTAATGATCAATACCCAGATTCTATATAAACTAGCTGACACACCATCTGTAAAGGAGTGATCAAGTCCAGTACTAGTAAGATAAATAAATTTTCCAAAAAGTCTTCTTTAACTTTTTGAGTCAAAGAAAGGTTCACTTTGTTCAACCATTAATTTCTTATTTTGGTCCATAGGACTATCCACTAATCTACAATCAATCATACATGTCTCTTTCAAGTTATTTAGAGCATATTTTCTTAAAGAAACTACAATTCCTTCGTTTGATTGAGTCACTTCAATGCCCAAAAATTATTGGAGACAAATTTGAGACAACCACGATCTTTGGTCTGAAAGTAATTGCATAAATGTTCCTTTAGATGAGAGATTCTAGCAACATCAATAACTAAGTTATCTATGTACACAATTAAGTAAACACAAGGGGAGCTCCCAGATTACCTTTTCTATTAGAATAAGGAATGGAATTGCTTTGATTGCTTGCAATAGCTTACCGATGCTAATTAGCAGTGAAGTCCTTCAAACCAGAAGTTTCAAAAGCTTTGATTGGGACTATGAGTGAAATCAACTTACATACTGATATCACATACCGAAGGGAAGGCCTACTTGTACCACTCCTGCTGACCTTCCACCTAGAGAAGTACAACAATAAAAAACTAAGGCGACCAACGTCACCATTGGGTCCAGCATTAATGACATAAACCCCTCGACATCCAACTGGCTTCTTCCCAAATGAAAGAAGAACTTACTCCCTAGTGTTATTATGTTAAGCTGCTTGATATTCCTCATTAGGTCACCTCCTTGAGACATTGCAAGCTTTACCTTTCTCTTTTATGCTCACTTTGCTTTGGCCTCCACCATTATTCCCTCCTTCAGCTAATTGAAACCTACTAGCAACACCATAGGACCACAAGATAGTGCAATCTTCTCCTTGTTGGCTCATTTTCAAACTTCCTCCTCGATTCTAGAATTGAGTTGTGGTTTGGGAGTACCCACCCTTCTTTTTGTTGATCCCATTCCTCACATCAATAAAACGTGCAAGGTCATCACCTCTTGGAAGGAAGTTGGCTTATGGGTCCTTACTTCCACATCAATCTCTTCCTTTAGACCATTAACAAAAATTCCACACAAGTACTCCGGTTAAGTGATCTTTACCACTAAAATCTCAAATTGCTTCATGTACTCCTTGATTATACCCTTTTGCTTCAATCCAAGTAAAATTTCAAACAAGTTTTCCACCATTGTAAGCTGAAATCTTTTCAAGATTACATCTTTGACTCCGCCCAATTGAGATTCTCTATGCAAGATTTCCACTACTACAACCAAGAAAGAGACTCTCCCTCCATGGCTATCAAGATTGCTTCCATTTTTTCTTCTTCATCAAGGTCCCTCAAATGAACATACCTATCAATTCTCCTTGTCCAAAATGGGTAGTTCCAACTTCCTAAACTATTCCTCATTTGCCAAATCCCCCATTTTGTGGTTAAACAAACCGTTACTTCCTTGGTTTTGATTTATCCCATACATTCCTCCTCCCATTTTAAAGATTCCATTTTGATTCGCCCGAATATTGGAACTCCCTTCTTGATTACTCATTGTTTCACCAAATTTCTACATCAACGGATCTTCCATTTGTTGGAGTGATATTTGTCTTTGTTCCTTCACTTCCCAAAATTCTCTCTCAAGAGTGTTAATTCTTAGTCTATTTTTTTGCAAACCATCAAAAAAAGCTAAAATTGTTGGATTATTCTACTTGGATACTAGTTGATAGGATTCAACAAATTGAATGGAAGATTTTGGAAAAAAAGAACAAGGCAATGAGCCTGCATTTTATTAAATGTTTATTGATCAATGTGACCAACGCATACAATGAGGTATTTGAAAGATCTCTCCTTACAACTTCTAAATTAACTCTTAACCCCCAACTACCACCCCTTATCCTCCTACTTATGAGCTATTCAGCTACAATTGTGTTTCCCCTCTATTAGCCCTCACATACATTTTCTTAGACACTAGTCTCCTATTAGACAACTAGCTCAAATAGTATCCAAGAACCTGGACAACCCACAAAAGCTAGCTATTAAGGGGGAGGAACAAAGCACTTAATTACTCCACCAAGCATCCAATACTACTTGATGTCGGACTTAGACACCCTATAATACCCAATTTCCTATCTTAGCATTGTTCTTAATTTTTTTGGTTTAAAAATGTATCAAATAATATCATCCCATGCAACTATTGTATGTTTACTCCTTAATACATTCAAAAAGTTGTTGTTCAATACTAGTAATAAGAAATATAATAGCATTGGTAGAAATAATAGTATGTAGTCTTCTAACAAATTCAAATGGCAACCAACAACAATATTAAATGAGTAATCAAATCAAAAGGCAAAAACACCGATAGTAAAAGCAAATGCAAATAAACAAGTCATAAACTACAACATATTAAGTACACTACCGTTTGTTTCAGTTTATTTTCAAAAGCTTGAACTAATCCATACAACCAGTTTAGAACAAAGGCTTCATTTGGAAATTTTAGTACCGTTAACTAGCTCTATCATGATCCATAACTTATTCATTTTGACACTGCTTATTTCACTTATTCTCTAGAACTTTCTCTTTCCGTTTATTTATCTCTCATCTTCTCAAATACCATACACTGTAACAAGTTTATATGATTACACAGCCAGTATAAAAATGTAAGGCATGGTATCAATCATTAATTGTGTAGACTAAAACAGCAGCATTTAACTCAATACTGAATGATTTCCCAAATGCAACTCATTCAATAAACTAGAAAAAGGAAATTCATACAACAGCAAAAATCTAGCGGTACAAAGACCAGATTAAAATATCACTGTTTCTTTTATAGATAGAGTGAAGGAAGGAGAAAATAACCAGTAGCATGTTGTATTTTCTTCTCTGATCCCTCATAGCTTCATTTGCATCAACGTGCCGTGATTCAACACAACCCAGAATACAGTTATTATCAAGATCATTGTCTAGAAGAAGCTCAGTTGAATGCCAAAACTGCAAGACAGCCTTTGCTATCGTGTGAGACAAAAATTTTGTCCCTAATTGTTCGTTTAGTTTTTCAAATCTTGACCTACAAGTAAAAGCTGCTTGATGGCCTAATTTTGCAGAAGCAGCTATCTTCCAGAGACGCTCCTACAGATGAATATTTTAGGAGAAAAATAAATATTTAACCAATCACATATATAAATCTAATAGCAATTATTATTTGCTGGTTTATAAAGAGAAAAGATCGCCACCACAGAAAGTTTGAGAGAGCACAATATCACCAGTAAGTATAAAAAAAATAAAACCTGTGCAAAATCATTTGCCAGCCATGCCATTTCCTCAAGAACAAAACCCCAATGTGACTTTCTATGGTTCTGTGTTGATAATGTGCGAAGAGATAACTCCGCAATTCTCTTTCGCTTGGCCTGTTTAGTGCATCATATCATACCTTTAAAAATTACTGACAAAACATCCAATGTAACCAAACAGTATATACAAAAATCACCAGAAATGGAATCAGAAATAGAGACCTGTATAATTTGAGCCTCTCTCATAATAGAATCTTCATGGGCCTTGTCCACTAATTTTATATTGTGTGTAGGACATGGTTGATCATCAGAGGTGGCGCTCTTAACCTTTTCAGCTCGAGCAGTCTGAGGAGGTTCTGATAGTGTCATGACCACAGGAACCTGATGTCTTTCACAGCTGCTTTCCTTGACGGAATTGGACTGATCCACTAAGACAGTATCATTATCAGCTTTGCACATGGTACTGTCATTAGGTACTCCCTTGATATTTGACATGCAAGAACTATTAATATGCACATGTTCCTCAGCTTGAACGATATTGTCACTACCAAAATGATTTTGACAACAAGCATCATGCTCATTGCTAACAGTAGCACCATTTTCATTTTTCACCTTATGCCTATCTTTCCAAACTTTGCAGTCGGTGGAGTTCAGTTTATTCTCTAATGCAAATGTTTGTTCCATAATATTTTCATCAGCATCAACATTCTTTGTATTAGTACACTTATCACTATCATTATTTACATCTCTACCTAAGCTAGTTTGTGTGCATGAGGACTCTAAATCGAAATTTTTCTTGCCTAATGTAGCAATGTTATTTTGGCCTTCGTTTGTTACACCTTTCCGGTCTACTTCTAGATTGCCACACCCATTTGGCTGACAATAATAAGGCCCATTTTCAGGTTTTGTAGTAGTTACATGAGGTGGAGACTCATGATTGGCAGCAGCTACAGGCTCGCTTAATTCAACCACATTAGCTTCTCTACTAACCATGGGAACTGGGTTTTGAACAGTATTGTCTTCAGATGGTAGAGTTCCATGATTTTCTTTTAAGTTTATGTTCACTGTAATATCCAATTTGTCTTTGGGAACCCTAGCACTACCACTGGTGGATTGATGATCTCGGATCCCAACCAATTCATCATTCGGTGTGTTATTAGTCGTCAAATTTTTAGTACCATTACCACCATTTATACTGGAAGACTTTGGCTTAGATACGGTTGGTAAATTAGGGTTATTTTGGTTATTTGTTTCCAACATTAACCCTTTCACTTCCCTCGAAGCACCCCGAGGACCGTGAATTGATCTAGATCTGTTCCTTCGTGCATATGGCCGGAAAATAGCAGAATCTTCAGTCTCCTTAGCACTTTGATTTCCATCAATTTGAGAAGACTGTTCTGACGGAGCAATATTACTCCTCCTATTTGAATGCAAGCACCTCCTTTCAGTTTCAGGCAACTCACTTTCACCATCAAAAAGTAGCAGATTATCAGCAGTATTAGGTTCACTAGCCAAAGGAGCCCCTGGTCTAGCACTACTGTCAACAGAGTCACCATGAGGGGAGGCAGTCAATGCAAAACTACCTTTTGCTTCACTGAGATAAGATTAGGGAAAAAGTGGCAACAGAAAAAAGTAACAGAGCATTAAGAAAATTATTATATAGAATATATTAATAGAAAAGTAACACACATACATGAGAAGAAAAAAGCAAAAAAATAGATACGAATAATTAACCTGGTGACAAACTGCTCATGAGGCTGATCAGTGAGTGAAGTAGACTGCACACTAACTGAGGCAGTATTCCCAGACTTAAAGTCCAGAGGATTCCCGCCCTGCACTTTCAAATTACAGGTGATCATCATTTACATCAAATTATTATGAGATACAAAATGCAAAGGAAAAGAAAACTCATACTTTTTCAAGGAATTCAAGCTCTCTTCTTCTTTCTTCACGAACATCAAACTCCTCTCTGATATCATTATGCAATAGTTATTCTTTATGCATAATAATGTATTGGCAATCAAACACAAAGTGAAACATATGAAGGGTTTCCCCATCACCTGAGCTCTGCTTGAGCCTTCTCAATTGCTGCTCTGCGCGGAGAGATCTTCAAACCTATACCAACTCCGCCATCAACAACTCCTCCCATAGAATCAACCTCAGCATTTACAAGGCGAGCAGAACCTGATTTATATCCATTCATTCCCAACCTCTAATATCTTAGTGCATCACTTCCCATCTTTTAAAGAGTCTGCCAAATTTTTAAAGCAAAAACGGTAAAAGAGGGCATAAATCAAAATGACAAAGCAATTTATAGCTACATAGAAAAATAAAAAACTCATGAAAATTTTAGGACACACTAAATAATATATCTAAGAATTTGTTTTTTTATCCAATAACATCATATCCACATGGACAACCTCACCTAGTAGGATATGGCTCTTACTTGTATTAAGACACACTACTTCCCATCTGTCAATTAGAATGCTATTTAGTTAACACTATATGACAGTGATACACAGGACACAGATATGAGACATGAACTAAAATAAAAAAGTTATTTAACATACAAGGCTGCTATTTAGAGACTAGGAAACTGGGCCCACCAAGTA